AGAAGTGTGCGTCGTGCCACCCTGTCCTTTCTGCTGACTGATGCCTGCATCACAACTCACAACGCAGTCGGCAACCTCGCCTCCTACCACGCCGCATTCGCGATGAACCCAGAGTCCGGGTACGGCATCGTGCTCCTGAGCACGGGCGCGCCCTCGCAAGCACAGTCCATCCTCCGCTCCGGCATAGCCGCCTTCCAGCCCGCGCTGGACAAGCTGCGCGCGGAGCGCGCCCAGCGGCTCTTCGGCGGGCCGTGGGAGCTGCCCGCCGCCCGCGGCAGGGGGCCAAGCGACGCCCGCGTCGTCTGGCGCCAGGGCGCGCTCTGGCTCGACAGGCTCGTGCTGAACGGCACGGACACGCTGGCGCTGCTCGCCGGGAGGCGGGGCGCGAAGGGCCGGCTGTGGTGGATGGGCGGGGAGGACTTCCGGTACGCCCCCCTTCCTCTCCTCTCCTCTCCTCTCCCCTCTCCTCCCCTCGGCGCACAGTCCATCCCTCCCGTCCCGAGCCCGAGCTGACTGGCCCTCCCCGCTCTCCTCTCCACACTCAGGATCGCGCTCGACTACCCCGGGTACGACTCGAGCTGCTTCGCCCAGGGCGCGATCCTCGACGAGGTCGGCCGCAGCCGCGGCTGGCCCATCAACACCCTCACCTTCACCGGCCCGGCGTCGCATCGCTCGCTCGTCGCGCCCGCCGCGGGGATCACGCTCAGGCGCAAGTTGTAGTCCCAAATGCCTGCAAGGCGCGCCTTCCTCCGCAGGCCTAGTCGACCGTGCGGCGCAACCCCTGCGCATGGACAATGACAACATTTACTAGTCAACTCACCCTGACTCCGGCGAGTGTTGTCGCCCTGCGCGCACGACGCCTTCGGGTACAGAATATGAATGGCACCTTTGTTGGTCTCGGTCTGATAGCAAGATACACTCTCGTCATGCCCATCTACGCGACCCATTGGTAGAGCAAACGCAGATCTGTTTCTTCCAGGGCGGTTCGTACGTCGCAAGTCGAATCACGCCTTGCTGGGGGCCCGTCAGTGGGGTTACATGTGGGCGCCGCGCCCGGCCAGCCAACGGCTGACTCGATCCCGTCCTGTTGCTTGCACACACCCACACAATGACACAGCCGTTTCTTGTAACCCCCAAGCCGCATCAAGCGGCCGTCGGGGCATCTCTCCATTCACATAAAGACTAAGTAGAACGCGATCCGTAACACTATAATCAGCAGTCTGTAAACCGCCCGCAGGAGCCCGTAGCCTATTGAACCCGTAGGACCCGCCATCGACATCGAGGCGTGCCGTAGGAGCGCGAGAGGCGGGAGGGCGCGAGCGGGCCGTAGGGGAGGGGCACATGTCGAATGTGCGTTCCCGGGGAATGGCATGGACTTGAATCGAGTTGGTTGGAACGGGAATGGGGCGTTGGAATTGCATATTGGTTTGATGAATGAGGTGGTGATGTGGAGACGGAGAAAAGTGTGCAGCGGGGCGGGTATGGGCCGGCTTTCGCAGAAAGGCGGCGGGGTGAGAAATGCGGTGGTGCGGGGGGGAGGAGGCGGAGGAAAGCAGGAGCAGGAGCAGAAGCAGAAGCAGAAAGGGGTACTCGGCCTCGCACGGTCGACCGGGACCGGGCGCGGGCCAGTAAGCGTATTGATACAACTGAAGACGTCCGAGGGGCGGCGTGCAGATACAACGTAAGAGAAAACCGGGCTCAAGTGTGGTTTTTGGCTTGTGACGCGTCGCGCTGCTCAGGTGGAGATCTTCCAGAGCTCGCCGGCGTTGCAGAGCACCTGGTTGTTGTACTGGGCTGCGCTGGAGTCGGTCTGGCGGTTGTTGAGCCAGTAGTTGAAGAACTCGTTGAGGTAGTCGAGGTTCTGCTGGGCGCCGCAGTTGCCGTTGCTGATGACGCTGCTGATGGTCTGGCCGGTCTGCCAGCCGTTGTACTGGCCGACGGCCTCGACGACGTTTCCGCCGGCCTGGGAGATGGTCGTCTGGATGTAGTTTGCGCCCGTGTTGATGTTGAACCAGACGTCCTGGCAGTTGCCGCCGGGCGCGCCGCCGCACTTGTCGACGGTGAGCTGCATGAGGCCCTGCTCGCCGTTCGGGCCGACGGCACCGGGGTTGCAGGTCGACTCCTGCATGGCGAAGGAGGCGAGGAAGATGTCGGGCACGCCGGTGGAGGCGGCGACCTGCTCGAACGTGTCGACGTACGCGGCGCAGGGGTCGAACACGCCCGAGCCCGAGTTGACCGCGTCCCGGAGCTTGGTGTACGCGAGCTGGTCGAGCGTGACGAAGGGCGGGGCCCACCCGGACCCGTCCATCCCGCAGTTCAGGTACCACTCTTGGCCGTTCGCGTGCCCGCTGTCTGCCGCGGGGCCGCCGCAGTACGAGGGCGCGGTGGTGAAGCCCGAGCTGGAGCCGGAGGGCGGGGACGAGGAGCCCGAGGAGCCCGAGTCTGAGCCGGAGGAGCCAGAGTTGGAGTTTGAGTTGTCCGAGCCGCCCGAGCCGTCGTCGCTCGGCGAGGGCGCCGCGGAGGAGCTGGTGGAAGTGGTGGAGGTGGTGGAGGTGGTCGAGTCGCCGCCCTTGTGGGCCGCCGCGGGCTTCTTCTTGCAGCGCTTGGACAGGTCGCGTTTCCGGATCTTCTTGTCCTCCGCGGATGCGACGGGCGCGGGTGCGGGTGCGGGAGCGGGCTCGGGAAGGGCGACCGGTTCCGGTGCGCGCTCGGCGAGGGAGCGGGCTCGGCGGGCGTGGGCGGCGAGGTCGCGCAGGCCGTGCTTCTCCGATGGGAGGGCGAGGGCGAGCGGTGCGAGGAGGGAGAGGAGGGCGAGGGTGGTGAAGGAACGCATCTTAGGGTTGGGACTTTGCTTGGAGGTGCGGAGGTGCGGAGGTGCGGAGGTGCGGAGGGTTGGAGGGCGTTATTTATGTGTGGGCTGAAGGGGGTTGGGCGTTGA